GTTCCCTCAGTTGTTACTGTAGTAGTTTCAGTTGTGGGAGAATACGTAGTTGTAGAAGTTTCCTCTGATTCAGTTGTAGTTTCTTCGCTTTCAGTGGTTCCCTCAGTTGTCACTGTAGTAGTTTCAGTTGTGGGAGAATACGTAGTTGTAGAAGTTTCCTCTGATTCAGTGGTAGTTTCTTCGCTTTCAGTGGTTCCCTCAGTTCTTACTGTAGTAGTTTCAGTTGTGGGAGAATACGTAGTTGTAGAAGTTTCCTCTGATTCAGTTGTAGTTTCTTCGCTTTCAGTGGTTCCCTCAGTTGTCACTGTAGTAGTTTCAGTTGTGGGAGAATACGTAGTTGTAGAAGTTTCCACTGATTCAGTGGTAGTTTCTTCGCTTTCAGTGGTTCCCTCGGTTGTTACTGTAGTAGTTTCAGTTGTGGGAGAATACGTAGTTGTAGAAGTTTCCTCTGATTCAGTGGTAGTTTCTTCGCTTTCAGTGGTTCCCTCAGTTGTTACTGTAGTAGTTTCAGTTGTAGGAGAATACGTAGTTGTAGAAGTTTCCTCTGATTCAGTGGTAGTTTCTTCGCTTTCAGTGGTTCCCTCAGTTGTTACTGTAGTAGTTTCAGTTGTGGGAGAATACGTAGTTGTAGAAGTTTCCTCTGATTCAGTGGTAGTTTCTTCGCTTTCAGTGGTTCCCTCAGTTGTTACTGTAGTAGTTTCAGTTGTGGGAGAATATGTAGTTGTAGAAGTTTCTTCTGATTCAGTGGGGCTTGGATCGCTATATATAGTTGCTTCAGTTGTTTCTGTAGTAGTTTCAGTTGTGGTAGAATATGTAGTCGTAGAAGTTTTCTCTGATTCAGTGGTAGTTTCTTCGCAATCTGTAGTTCCTTCAGTTGTTACTGTAGTAGTCTCAGTTGTGGGAGAATACGTAGTTGTAGAAGTTTCCTCTGATTCAGTGGTAGTTTCTTCGCTTTCAGTGGTTCCCTCAGTTGTTACTGTAGTAGTTTCAGTTGTGGGAGAATATGTAGTTGTAGAAGTTTCCTCTGATTCAGTGGTAGTTTCTTCGCTTTCAGTTGTTCCCTCAGTTGTTATTGTAGTTGTCTCAGTTGTGGGAGAATATGTAGTTGTAGAAGTTTCCTCTGATTCAGTGGGGCTTGGATCGCTATATATAGTTGCTTCAGTTGTTTCTGTAGTAGTTTCAGTTGTGGGAGAATATGTAGTTGTAGAAGTTTTCGCTGATTCAGTGGTAGTTTCTTCGCAATCTGTAGTTCTCTTAGTTGTTACTGTAGTAGTCTCAGTTGTAGTTGATTTTGTTGCTATTGATGTAGATGTTGTAGTAGTTTCAGTCGATCCAATTGGTTCATCGCACTCGTACTCCGATTCATCGTTACAAACCAGTCCAGGAGGACATTCTTGAGGAAGTCCAATTATAAACGTTCCTTCTTGAGTTTCGTCAGATACGCATTGCCAAAAAAACGTCTCATTCACGCATATAAATCCTCGATTATTGCAGTTAATTTGCCCTTGAACTCCGTTATTTATCTAATTTAACAAAATATGCCAGTTAATTCATTGTATTCAGAAATTATTTCTTATTCATCTCAATTGTTTAAATAGTTCATTTTATTCACTCCACCCAATGGCCCGTATTCAGAGCCTTACTTTAACTTTAGAGTGACTCTAAAGTGGCCTCTTTAACTTGACAGTTGTACATTGTTGTTATGGAGTTTCTAGGGACTAGAAATGCGACTTTAGAATCACGCTGAAGTTAAAGTGAGGCGCTGAATACGGGCCATTATCTCTATGAAAAAACGGCAATTAAAAATGCAAAATTTTAATATCTAATTAGAGTTGATAAGTTTTAGTTGACATTGATAAGATAAATGATCTATTTTCCCAGAGATCAAAATGACTGATTGTTGCTATTTGAAGTGTTACAATTAATGCAAGGTCAATTACTATTCCCTATATTGACTTTACTGAACTCCCTTAGGTCGGTATAAATCCATTAAAAAATGACTCTTTTAATACATTTATAATTGTTTATATATTGAAATGTTGCAATTAGGAACTAAAGAATAAACAATACTTATGAAAAACTACGTAGTATCAAAGTTTGAGCTACTACCAGACTCAGTACTTTTTAAATGAAGAACTTGCAATAATTATTAGTATTAAAAATGTATTAACATCGACACTAGTACCAAATTAAGGACCAGAGCATTTACAAAAATCTTCCAAAATTGATAAAGTAGATAAAGTAAAATTACTTACTGTTAAAAGCACCAACACATAAATTGGTATTACTTTCATTTTTCTTCACATAAGTACACTAAAGTCAATTATTCCACAATATTCAATCCTTTTGACGAATTGCTAGCGGCATCTTTAAATGTACTGTTGGGTATCAAAGCTGATGTCTCAATTAAATACCTATGTTATCAAGAATTTGAAATTTAACAAAATATATAAATAAGCAGGTGTTTGAAGAGAAGATTTGCTTAGGAATTAAGCAAGCCTTCCGTATGACGAAGAATAACAATAATACGTGTATTTTGGTAAAAAATGTTTTTCTAATAAATTGTCTTGTTAACACGGTTTGGTGTATTTTTGCTTTGGTCAAGTGTGTTTGTCGCGTACATTCGAAGCTGAAATTTTCAAATGTATTATTTTTTTAATTTTAATGTCTCTATTTGCTTTTATTAAAAGGCTTAAGGATTTGTTGAACTAATGTTTTAGACTTATTTACGTATGATGTGGATCAAGACCATAGAATTTTTGTTCCACAGGGTAATTCGACAAGGAATTAACGAAAAAAACTTTCGATATATTTTTGAAGGATTTTAGTTTTTTTATGTAGGTACCTATATTTTCGTTAATTTTTTGAAGCATTATTTTTGAGATTTCTGGGTTTAAGCTCTTTTCTTTATATTTGTGATAGGTTATAAGAAAAAAAAAAACTTTTATTCGATTTTATTCGTTAACAATTTTATTGGAGCATTTTCAATATGGAAGTTTTTTCCTTATAATGCTAAAGCTGTTTTCGAATTTAGTGTTTTTTTTTTATTTATTTTGTAAAGACCTGCCCAAAAAGACAACAACAACATTTGTGTGTATCAGAAGTGTTTATTTTAATAAGTTTGCTTGTTTTTTGGTGATTTTTTGAGAATTTTCGCAAATTTGCTAATTTAACAGATCAATAATGATAAAAAAGGACTATAAAAGCACTGTAATAAGTGCTATTAAGCACTCCGTTCGCTATTAAGAGGTAGTAGTACAACCTAATTTTGTGTGCAATAAACAGCAGGAGTGACCCAAAAAGAAATCATAAAATTTTAACAATTCAGAAGCTTTTACCATTGTGTAATAATAATAATAATAATTATTTTTCTTTAATAGTACGACTCTGTATAAATGATATACATATAACAATAGGCCACCATTTTCTAATCCCATATAAAGTTCTTTTGCTAATAAAAGAATATTTTCAAATAACCCGTAAAATTATTATTACAAAATGATTTTTAATCCATTTTTAATCGTACTATTTACAGGGTGAATCCAAACGCAATAGTAACATTTTCTCAGTTTATTTAAATCATCCTATAATTTATATCAATACCAGGAAGTACTTTTGAAGTAGTTTCATTCCTATTAAACATTTCCAATACCTAATTTTAACACTTTACAAGATATTTCGAGAAGAGATAACAAAAATTTTCTATCCCTAACAAATTTTCAATTCATCAAATTGCCTATTAGAATTTACCAGTACAACAAGCAAGGTTACCGAGAAATTACGAATATTTGAACATTTAGGTACTATTTGAATCCATTGGTGGTTGGAGATTCTATTTCATTCGTGAGTTATCCTAGATTACAATTCCAAAGAATTAGGTTTTTTTACCAAACAAATATTTACATTTCCAGTATAAACATGCGAAAATTTTGTATTAAATTTTTGAGCCGCATGTTCATTGTTGGTGATAATTTTTATCGTATGTTATCAGGATTACTAGATGTTTCGCAAGCATTGTGTTTTTTTAAATAATGGAAATTTGCTGGCCTGGCATTGAGATTGAGCGGCATATCCAATTATGTAGTTTCATGTAGTATGATGGTAAAATAAATTCATAAAATATACGATGTAGGTACAACCTTAAGTATTTAGTAGGTATTATTGATATTCGTGTGAAATAGTTTTGTAATTTTCTGGTTTGTATTTAAGTGTTTTTTTTAATTGACGCATATATTTTGTTAATTCCAATTGTTAAGTAACACTTATTTTTATTTTTTTGTATTAAAAACAAACCTAATTTAAACATTGGCTGTTTGTTGCCATTACTGAAAATGGAATTGAAACGTGTGCGTAATAAAAACCAGTCTGTTTAATTTAAAAAGTTTTCTATCATTCCCATAATCAATTAATAGACGAATAATTTCAGCGAACACTAATCTTGATGATAAATTGATGGAAGAATAACATCCTCGAGAATTAATTTATATATGAAAAGTAATTTTTAAATCATAAATTAACTTAAAAAGTACTATTAAGTAAGTATCCAAATGATTAAAAAATCAGCGAAAGTACTAATTGTAATATTGCCTAATAATGAGTAGTATTAAGTAAGATGTGTATTCAAGGATGAGGTAATGATTAAATGAGGAAAAATGTAATAAATACACCAATAATAAATTGTTATTAAGTTTACCATTAGTAAAGTATTCTATTTTAATAATGTTAGGCTAGTTACTAATTTATTTGATCAATTCATGAATTCATTTTCCTAGTAATTAATTAATGGTTAGAGTGCATGAGAAACTTGCAATCCCATAATATCCCACAAATTTCTACAGAAAGTTGTCTTTGTTATTTGCAAATTTGCACTTATGTGAGTAGAATCATCACTGAATGATTATTCAAATTATTACTAAAAATCGTCAAATCACTTGTACGGGATTCACCGAAAAAAAAAACCACAAAACCATAGAGTAAAAATATTTATTCAAATAACTTACTACAAACCTACCAAACAATCATAAATCCACAAAATCAACAATCCTTCATCAAACCTCAAGCATGGCGATAAATCACAAAATCGTCTCCCCGTCGCCGGCTCGCCGCAGGTACTTCCCCAAGAACACCAGCGCCTCCTTCGTCGCGGGCATCAGCGTCCAGGCGACCGCGTTCGCCGCGTACACCACCCCCGACACGATCGGAAACCACCCGATCAGGTCCACCTCGAACTCCGCCACCAGGTAGCTGGCCGCCGCGGCGACGGCGCCCAGCAGCACGCTCAGCGTCCTCTCCATCTGCGCGAACCGCCGCCGGCCCGCGAACGCCCTGTACACGAAGCCCTCGGCGAAGCCGCTCAGCCCGTACCCGAAGCCGAACAGCAGGGCGCTCCAGATGATGAAGTCGTTGGACATTTTGCGCTTGGTGAGCACTGGAATTCCCAAATGAAATACCGGGGACTGTTAGATACGTTTCACTTACGCAGCATGCTGAAGCTGGACAGCACCAATCCCACTACGAAGGTGATTCGCATCTTCACGGCCGAGAATGTCATCAGGAGGGGCAGCAGCATCAGCGAGAGGCACCAGGAGAAGGCCATGTAGGAGAGCAGGAAGGCCATGTCTTCGGTTTTGTAGCCGTCGTTCTTGTGGAGCGTCACGTAGGGCGTGAGGGATATGAACAATACGGAGCTGATGTTCAAAGAGGTCTTGCTGATGAACGTGGGGTAGAAATGGAGGTCGCCCAGCGATCTGAAAACGGGGAGGACGAAACCGTCGGTGAAGAAGTCCTTCATCGTGCGCAGTTTCCTCTTCCATATGAAGAGCGTGTAGGGGGAGCACGAGCAGCAATTCGAAGAGTCTTTGGGGAATTTCATGTCTGTTAGAAAGGATTTCCTCTTATCGTCGTCTTCGGGGATGTATTCTATACATTGTATCGTCTCCGGTATCACTACGATCTCTTTAGGAACTATTATTTCTTTCGTTTCTTTGCTAAGTATGTCTTCGAGGACGGTGCTTATGCGGCTCAGTCTTTTCGAGTTTATTATGTTTATGTTCTTGTCTTCTTCGTCTTCCTCTTCTTCCGGGATTTCTGGTAATATACTAACCCCTGCTTGGCTGTAATATCTTTGGACAGTGCTGGGTGCAAGGGGACCCGGTTGCGGAGGTACTTCCTCTAGGTTAGCGCATTTCTCGCGCACTAGAAGATCATCGTCTTCGTCTTCTTCGGAACCTGATTCGGAATCATCGCTGGCATCGTCTATTATCGATTTGTTGTTGTACGTTATGTCTGAGGTGTTGTCGGAACTGGAGAATACCTTCATTTCTTTGATTTGTTGCGAGAAACTGTAACAAAAATTGCTGTTTGTTATTGCGCTATTTATGGTCTAAGGAAGATGGGTTTCTTAAAGGATGTATTGCAAGTTTTTGTGAATGCGAGACTGGCTAATCAGTGCATAATTTCTTTGTAAATATTGATGCAAAAATGCTATTATTTATTGGGAGATGCACCAAAGCAAATATTTTTTGGTGTTTAAAATGAGTGTAAAATATTTATGTTTTCGGAGATATTATCACTTTCATTATTGTATTATCTATATTAGTGAAAGTTAAGGGGTAACTAACCTGATGTTTTTCTATTTTGTGCACATATTTATGTGTACAGTAATAGGGTGATTGAAACAAAAAATAGTACAGTAAGTTAGTAAATATTTAACGTTTAATGATGCATGCTAAAAATTATTTTTTTGTCTCTAATTTAGCTTGAAAAAATTTAAAAAGTATTAAATAACAACTGCATTTAGGCAACTTAAATATAAACTCTTGCGTCATCTAGCTGGTCCGTTCGTTTAATATCTATTCTCGTGTTTGCACAGTGAAAAGACAATTCTTTTTTATTAAGAAAACGAAAACAAAAATCAAAATATACAGTGTGTCCACGGATGGGGTTGCCTATAGGAGAAAAAATTTTTATTATTCATTTTACGACAAAAAGTCATTCTTTATAAAAATTTCTGCTTCTTTTGAAAATGAGAATAACATTGAAAAATCTTAGATTAGATCTACAGGGTGTTGGCAAATTAAGAAAACATGAAAATACTTCAAGAGAGAAGTACCATTATTTTTTATTTTACACAAAATTTTTATAAAGGAAATAAAATAAATAAAAATAAGTAATAAAAATTTTTCTCCTATAGGCAACCCCATCCGTGGACACACTGTATTTGAAAGAACCTTTTTATTTTCTTCGACTACTCGTCTTAATATTCAATTATTTTTTAATAGATACCCAATTTACTTACGCTGGTAAAGTGCGATACCTATTCGTCTCCCCGTAAACCATCGAATCGCTCTTGTTGGGCAATTTGATTATCATCACAGCGGGGAATATGTTCAAAACAACGGCAGAATACACCAATAGAACGCGATCTAGGGATAGGTGGCTTATCAATAGGAGAAAAACGTGCGGCATCACCAATAAACTGATCGCCCTAGCCGATAGAACGTTGCCTTCGAACGCTCTTTCTGTGGTTTTGAACTTTTTTCTAGCCATATGCCGCAATTGAGTGTAAATCACGTTGGAGAATGTCCCTAAAAAGACAAAAAAAGTTTATTATATGCTTTCTAGTAGGTATATTTTATTATCGAAGAGATCTTAAAACCTTCAGTCAGAGGGAATATTTCATAACGCATCGTTGAAATCCTTTAACAGAAGGAAGCTTTAAGATCCTTAATTTCGAATGTCTTAATCCTCGAATTCTCCCTACTTTATTTAATTTGTATGGGGGAAAATCTAACTAAATAATTCATGTTTATTAATTTATAATGAATAATATAATTATTGCAGAATAAATGTTAATTGAATTTATTTTTATAAATAGCCATATGCTTACCTCCGAATATTCCATAACAAATATAATGTGGCGGTATAACAATACCGACTGCTAATAATATAGCGGCTATCGTAATGATAAATCGATAATAATAGTAATTTCTTTCTTCACAATATTTTATGAAAACCTTGGATAATGGGGCTGAAATCAAACGTAGGTAGGTAATTGTAGTTGGACTAAATGTGAAACAATTTCCAATACAAGAGCATCTGATCATACCAAGAGGGTTTATTTACTTACAGGTGGTTTAAATTTTACATTTTTTTTCTATAGAATTTGTAGTTTTTAAGATATTTAACTTTAATTTTAAATAGATAGCTAAATAGACTTTAGGCATTTACATCTTTTAGGAACTTTTTAAAGTAGGTATCGCAACCCCTTTTTACCATCGAACTATTCTACGATACGCCTATGTTTATATGAAATAATCCAAATAATTACGTCATTATTTATGCACTTGGTATCTAGAAACAACCTTCATTGCGGCATCATTGAAGCTATATGCACATTGGAAATTGTCATTTAGTTAGTGTAAGGTTTACGAAATTCATTATTTTACCTGTTGTGTACCATGCTGATAAGAAAATCAACGTCGGGCACGTCGCCTTTTGCACTGTGTATTTTCCGAATTGTATATTTTCTGCCAGCAAAATCCCGTAACACTGGTACAAGGGGCACACTAAAAACTAAAACTTTATTGGATTATTAAAAACATGTTATAATATTTTGTTTCTGTATAAAAATCTGAAATTTGAGCACTGTAGAGTAACTTTTGCACTTGCCAAATTCTGATTAATTTTATTAAGAAAGTTACTTCATGTTAATTAAATGTTTTTAGGCTTTATTTATTACTTAGTGGTGAGTCAATTATCCACAAGAATGCATATTTTATGAGTTCCTCTGTATATTAAGTTTGGAAACGTCAAAAAATAGTAACAAAACAATAAATATGAATCCATTTATTAATCGAGCATAATTAAATCAGTGATTAAATGGTAAAATAAACACATTGACGAATTCGGGATCATTAACTTCGAAACTCGTTGTCTCTAATTAACATACAGCTTGTTTCAATTTTTAATTAGGCGTATTAATATACACAATAAAGATTATGTTATACATTACATTTTACAACAAAATTATGATAATTAGAAAACGCTTATTTACACTTAGTTATCAAGATAACTTGGGCAAATTTGAGTTTTTTTTTGTTATGCACATTACCTCGATTAGTCCGATTCCGAGTTGCGCCGAGAATTTCTGCTTTTTGCTCTGCTGCTCGCCTTCCTCGGGGTTATCGGAAAAAGTGGACGAGACTATCTCTGACAACGTGGTGCTCCTGTGCATCTCTAATCCGTTTTATTCGATGGAATTGAATCAGTATCTTTGCCCTTTTGCGTGCATTTTCGCCTGCATAATGCCGTCGGTATCGATTTTATCGTTTTGCTGGAAACGCGTTGACACTACGTTGTACGCGGTTTTCGTTTTGATTTTTTTGTATCTTATCTCATGCACGATTATTCATTAGATATCATTTATCTGGGCTGCGTATTATCACACTAATTTGATGGAAGCTAATTTTCGTGTATAGGTAGCGCGTTGATATCGTTGCGAAAACTCACTCTGTGTTCTTGAATATGCTTTTGGATGGTAGTTGAGCGATATTCTATGTAAATAACGCGCAAATCGAACTTATCGTTCAATTATTAGCAAACAAATTTATTGTTGTTTGTTTGTTTGAGATTTATAAAATTTTTGGTGGATTCTTTGTAACAGGGGAAAGTTTCCTATGCTTTTGTACAGGGTGTGCCGAGCTTGTGATCGAATAAGTTAAACAAATTTGTTTCTTAATGATGTAAAAAAATAATATGTTATATGCACAATTAAATAATTTGTTTGATAATTTAAAAATTCGTTTGGTTGAAGTTTAAACCTATTTTTGTTGTAATTTAAAAAAAAATATGTCAAAGATTTGTATCTGTAAAGTCCTAATTTTAAAATAAAATATTCAATTACACAAATTTTCATCTTGTACACATAAGTGCAAAATTGTTTGCAATATGGTAAATTTTATGAGTTGAACAAAGAAAGGTTATTAAAATATCAGTCTTCCTTTTTTCTTTATTTGAGATTAATATGAAAGTTATCTTTGTTGCACCCATAGCATATGTTGCAAACAATTTTGCATCTACCTGTATATTTTTGTATTTTGGAAATCTGCTTAAAAATGAACAGTTTATTAAAATTTTCTTATTTCTTTTAAAATTAAAAACATTATTTTTCTTTTATTTATTTAAAAACAATATTTATAATAATAATTTATACGAAACAATACAGTTTGTTATTGAAGATTGTTTATGAAAAAATTATTAATTTATCTTTGTGCGATTTAGTGCAATTTTTTCGCATTTTTCCGGAAGACTATACATTACCAAAAAATATCAAATTAGTTGAACCGATTAAGAATAAGCATAGATTTTATTACACCGTTTTTTTATTCAAATTGCATTGAAATACTCTCCTTAAAAAGCGTACTTACCACATTTTTTTTAAATTGTTACCTAATTTTCTTCTTCTTATTTCTAATCTGGCCTCGATTATTCAGACTATTTAGTTTAATAACTGAACTTATTTTTTGTCACATAAAAGATGACGTTTTGACATTGACAACTAATAAAAACACATAACCTCAATTGTCAATTCTTATCGTGGTAGTGGAATTAATTCACCGACTGCAAAGATCTCCTTTCTCCACGACGAAATTTAACGAGAATTACATTCACATCGACTCCGCCTTGCATATCAATCGGTTGGCCCAATTTCCCAGGTGAGTTGTTATTCATGACATTTAACCGAATCCATATTGCATCACAATGCTCTCTTTTACATCTAATACATATGCGTTCACAGTGTATACCTTAATAACATGAAAAACCAATTTCCAGCTACTCGAATCGGCTAAAATGGCTACGACAATGAGCGCTAAAGATGTGAGAAAATCTTACATAGACTTCTTCAAAGAGAAGAATCACACGTATGTGCATTCTTCGTCTACGATTCCGCTGGACGATCCGACTTTGTTATTCGCAAATGCAGGCATGAACCAGTTCAAGTCGATTTTCCTGGGAACCGTAGACCCCAACAGCGATTTATCGAAATTAATTCGAGCTGTGAATTCCCAAAAGTGCATCCGAGCAGGCGGTAAACACAACGATTTGGATGATGTCGGTGAGTCTTCACAATCCTTACAATTATCTAGAATGCATGTAGACTTATTTTTATTGTATCTGGTAGTATAATTGTGGGATTTTGCTTACAGGAAAGGACGTTTACCATCACACTTTCTTTGAAATGATGGGAAACTGGTCATTCGGAGACTATTTCAAGAAGGAAGTGTGCACTTGGGCCTGGGAATTCCTCACTGAAAAGCTGAAATTGCAAGGTGATCGGTTGTACGTTACCTACTTTGGTGGAGACCCAGCTTCTGGTTTAGAACCCGATACTGAATGCAAACAAGTAAGATTTTGTAATCACAATGCTTCAAAAACATATAAAGAAAACTGATGGATGTTATTATTTTTAGATATGGCTTGATTTGGGAGTGAAACCGTCCCACGTTCTTCCTGGTAGCATGAAAGACAACTTTTGGGAAATGGGCGAGACAGGTCCATGCGGGCCTTGTTCTGAATTGCACTACGATAGGATCGGAGGGCGAGAAGTACCGGAGCTCGTAAATATGGACGATCCCGATGTACTGGAAATATGGAACCTCGTATTTATCCAATACAATAGAGAATCCGACGGCAGTTTAAAATCGTTGCCCAAAAAACACATTGATTGCGGTCTCGGATTGGAGCGATTAGTTTCCGTAATACAAAACAAGAGGTGATAATAGCAATTTATTGCGGTAACGTTTTAATGTTAAATTCTTCGTTTTAAGGTCTAATTACGATACCGATCTATTTGTTCCTCTATTCGATGCTATTCAAAAAGGCACCGGAGCACCTGCTTATCAAGGAAAAGTTGGAGCTGATGATGCCGAGGGTATCGATATGGCTTACAGGGTACTAGCAGATCACGCTAGAACTCTAACTATTGCATTGTCTGATGGTGGACACCCAGATAATACAGGAAGAGGGTATGTAATTTCTTACCAATTTTGCAAATTATCCTTACATTATGTGTTTTTAAGGTATGTCTTAAGGAGGATATTAAGACGAGCAGTGCGTTATGCAACCGAAAAATTAGGCGCTAAACCAGGGTTTTTCGCTACTTTAGTCAATACTGTCGTGGAAATTTTGGGCGATGTGTTCCCTGAAGTTACTAAAGATCCTCAAGGTAAAGACTTATTTATAACATACCTATTTTTTGCAATACACATTTTTTAAGGCATAATCGACATAATAAACGAAGAAGAGGAGCAATTCCTTAAGACGTTATCCAGAGGCCGGAGCCTTTTGAACAGAACGATAACCAAACTAGATTCGAACGTTAAAACCCTACCCGGTGATGTCGCTTGGAGATTGTACGATACTTACGGTTTCCCGGTTGACTTAACGTCATTAATGGCCGAAGAAAAAGGACTTAACGTAGACATGGAAGGCTATGAGGAATCCAAGAAACAAGCACAAATCACTTCACAGGTACAAATATTATTCGAATACTATTATAGAGTGTTTGTGAAAACGTCTCTCTTCTGTTTAACGTTCGAATGAAGGAGATATATCGAAGTTTAGTTTGATTTCACTGTATAATACAAAGGATTATTTACAGGGTAAGGGTACAGGAGTAGCAGACACCATAAACCTCGATGTGCACGCAATAACGGAACTCCAAAACAAGAACGTACCCCCTACCGATGACCTCGAAAAATACTCCTACGAATCTACCAATTCCTTAGAATCCGAATACACTTTCAAGACCTGCGAAGCCGCCGTAATAGCTTTGCGATTCAACAAGGAATTCGTCGACGAAGTCCACACGGGTCAGGAGTGCGGTGTAATACTGGACAAAACGAATTTCTACGCCGAGCAGGGCGGGCAAATCTTCGATACGGGTTTCTTGGTGAAAATCGGCGACGATAGCGTCGAATTTTCCGTCAAAAACGTCCAAGTTCGAGGGGGATACATTATTCACATCGGGAACATGGAGGGAACGCTGAAAAAGGGCGATAGAGTTAGTCTGCACATCGATTCCGCGAGGAGGAGATTGATTATGAGCAATCATACTGGTACTCACGTATTGAATTATGCACTAAGGAAGGTGTTAGGTAAGTTACAAAAGAACACTTGCGTTTGATTCAAGTGTGATGAACTAGGCGTCAAAATTATCCTTCCTTTATTGACGATAAGTTTAGCTCAAAATCTTCGCCTTTTCCAGGTACCGAAGCTGATCAAAGAGGATCGTTAGTGGCTCCCGATAGACTTCGATTCGACTTCACGAACAAAGGCGCCTTGAACGCCGAGCAAGTGAAGAAGGCCGAGGAATGTTCGCAACAGCTCATAGCGCAAAACCGGAAGGTGTTTGCCAAGGAATCCAGTTTGGGTGTGGCGAAAACGATACGAGGCTTGAGAGCCGTGTTCGAAGAGACCTACCCGGATCCCGTGAGGGTCGTTTCGATTGGGATACCGGTCGAAGATTTGGAGAAGGATCCGTTCGGGCCGGGCGGGGACGATACTTCGATAGAGTTCTGCGGCGGTACTCACGTTTTATACGCCGGGCATATCGGCGATTTTGTTATATCGAGCGAGGAGGCGATTGCTAAGGGTATCAGGAGAATAGTAGCCTTGACTGGTCCCGAAGCTACGAAAGCTCTAAAACGAACTGAATTACTAGAGAACAGATTGAATCAATTGAGATCTACCATCGACAGCGATAAGGAAGGTCATAAATCGAAAGAGCACGTGAAAAGAATCGTGGAATTAACAGAGGAAGTTTCTCACGCATTGATACCCTATTGGAAGAAGGAAGAAATCAGGAACACTCTAAAGAACCTTAAAAAATCGTTGGACGATAAAGATCGCGCAATCAAAGCGGCTGTAGCTAACAAAGTCGTGGAGGAAATCAAAGAATTCGTAAAAGCTAATCCGAATTTACCGATTTTGGTTAAAGAATTGAAGGCCTTTAATAACACGAAAGCTTTAGATACAGCATTGAAGCAAGTTAAAGCGTTAAGTCCTAATACATCTGCTCTGTTTGTTACCGTAGATGAAGATTCAAACAAACTGTTTTGTCTATCGTCCGTGCCCAAGGAGTCGATCGAGAAAGGACTGAAAGCCAACGAGTGGGTACTGGAAGTGGCCAAAAAGGTTGGTGGAAAAGGCGGCGGTAAACCGGACTCTGCTCAGGCCTCCGGCAACAATTCTGTTCCGGTTCTCGATATTCTGGAACTGGCTAAAAAGTTTGCGGAATCCAAGCTTTGCTAACGACGTTGTTGCCAGTGTTTAGTATCAGGTATCCGTTTCGATTTTTAAATTATTTTTAATTTTGGGCAATGCGTTTTTCACTTTTGTAATTTTTAATATCTGATATAAGAGAATTAAGCAATTAAAAGAAGTTATTTGGATAATTTAGTTTATTTTTTCAACAATATCAGTTTTTTGCAAACGGTCCTTTACGTGGTAAGGCATCATTACACATCCAAGCAGCTTCTCGAATTGATAATGAACTCGTGTATGACCTAATGAGATATATCAAGTAAAGATGGGAATAGTTCGAGGTGAGAATTTTGTACATAAAGCAACATAAGATGAAAAAGAAACTGTTATATTAAATTCTATTCTACATTTTTCTCATTTTTATCATAAATAATCTTGATTTCCGTTAAAAGTTGAGATATATTATCTCCTAATTTAGCGCTAATGGGTATCACAGGTAAAGTAGTATTCTGTTTGAGCAACTCTAAATTTTCTTTTGCTTCTGGCAAGTCCATCTTATTGGCCACTACTATTTGAGGTTTTTGCCTAAAATCTTCACTGAATTGCGACAGCTCGAACTGCAGGGTTTCGAGATGCCGCCAGGGCTCCGTTTGGGACATGTCTAGTAGATATATTAAGGCCATGCATCTTTCAGCGTGTTTTAAAAATTGAATTCCTAGGCCTTTGTTTTTGTGAGAGTCTGGTATGAGTCCCGGAAGATCAGCAACTAAAAATTCGAATTGTTTGTATCTAGTAACCAGTTTATGTTGGTTATTTTGTTATTTTTACCTGCTACTTGTTCATAATCATCGTACTGTACGATTCCTAAATGCGGTTTTAAGGTGGTAAAGGGATATGGTGCTACTTTAGGTCTAGCTCGAGAAACTGCTCTTAAAAGTGTGCTTTTACCAGCATTGGGAAAACCAATCTAAAATACAAATAACTAATTTTTGTGATTTTTAGGGTGAGTATTACTTACCAATCCAATGTGCGCCATACTTTTAATTTCAATGGTGTATTCCAATTCCTCCCCGTTAGCTCCGTATTCAGAAATTTCCGGGCTCTGTTGGGTGTCCGAAATGAAGAACTTGTTGCCTTTCCCGCCAGCTCCCCCTCTAGCAGCCACAAACATCAACCCCTGTCTCGATAAATCCCCTATTACTTTACCATCGGAATCTTTAATGATCGTTCCTATAGGTACGTTTATAACCATGTGCTCCGCGTTTTTCCCATGGCAGTCTTTATTACGACCGTTCTCTCCGTTCTCTGCTCTAATCACAGTAGAAACTGCGTGCAAATCTTTGATGTCTTGAGTCGCTTTTAATATAACGTGTCCTCCGTTTCCCCCATCGCCCCCATCGGGGCCTGCGAATTCGTTCGCCCAAAGCGACAGAAACGAAATGCAACCGTCCCCACCTTTCCCTCCGACCACCCGGACTTGCTTGAGGTCTAAAAAGTCTTGAACCTGATTTTTAATGTTGCGTTAATACTAAGTTGTTTAGCAATAAAATTTTACTTACCGGAGTTGCTGATGATTTGGGCTTTTTGCTCCTCAACGGTTGGGCTACTTTTTGGGAAAAGCTGCGGGTGTTTTTTAACAGTTTTAAAACGGTGTTTGCTTTTGTGAACATTATTGAAATCAGTAAAAAGTAAATATAACCTTAAAATTATGAACTGAATGCTTCTAAAGTAAACGTCATTTACTGTGAAATGTGAATCGTCACAGAACAAAAACTTAGAATTTTGACAGCAGGATAGGAGTGTCATTTCATGTTTTCTGTCAACGTCATATGTCACTGTCAAATTAATGCTGAAATTGCTGAAAAAAACAAACACCGAATTTTACATAATCATTAGTATTCTACGAAACTCAAAAAGCAATGTATTGTTATAATTAATATAAGTGTAGTTCCGCGTAAATTCAACGATAGTTCGTAAAGTTGTGCCTTTTAAGAATCCGTTTCAAGTGAGCACCTAACCTCAAACTCTACAAGCTTCAAGATGGTAGTAGATAAAAGCCCTTTATCCGGCAACGTTCTGGAGCAATTCGTGCTCCTGGCGAAGACTACGAAGGGCGCGGCGTGCACCGAGTTGATCAGGCAAGTCCTGGACGCCCCAGGGGTGTACGTGTTCGGGGAACTCCTAGATATGCCCAACATTCTGGAACTGGCAACGACTAATAGGAAGTACTTCAACACGTTAGAATTATTCGCTTTCGGCACGTTTAAGGACTACCTAGCTAATAGAAACGAACTGTTGGAACTGACCTGCGCGCAGAAGAAGAAACTACAGCACCTCACCATAGTTACGCTAGCTACGAAATCGAAATGTATCCCTTACAGTACTCTGCTCGTCGAATTGGATATTAAGAACGTGAGGGACTTGGAGGATCTCATTATCGAAGCGATTTACGCCGATATCATACACGGGAAATTGGATCAAAAAAATAGCCAGCTCGAAGTCGATTATGCAGTCGGTCGGGACATTAGAGCCGATGATATTAACATTATTGTGAATTGTCTACAAGACTGGTGTTCATCGTGCGAAGGTAAATTTACTTCTTATTCTCGAGTCTTTATTTCTCTTTAGTGCCCAACAATTATTTATTTACATTTTGATGAATATTTTTAGGTGTATTGAGCTGTGTGGAAAATCAAATTCACAGGGCGAATTCTGAGAAGAACAGATGTATACAAAGAAAGGCTGACATCGAAAACGAGGTTGTCAACATTAAGAAGACGCTGAAAACACAACTTCAAGAACGATCTGATGGTACCGATGAAGTAATGGCTACGGATAGTCGAGAAACTTCGTCGTCTGGTGACAAAGGTAAGAAATCCCAGAAAATGAAGGGATTAAAGATTCTGCGCTAAATCCTGTTCTTTTCGAAAATGTATAAAAGGTAATGCACTTATGGGTTTCTGATCAATTTGGTTCATACCGAAGGTCTGGAAGTTTCTCAATGTAATATTATTATTTTTTAATTTCTCCTATTAGAGCTTTCTATGTTTGTTTTGTATGTCAGATTGAGTACTGACTTTAGTGATCAAAATATTCACTTTAAAGTAAAATTGAAATGTAACAAATGTGTACATAATAAAATTTTCTAGTTTGACATTTTTTATTAATACAAATGATGGTATATTTACTAATATTTTGGGTTTTATTATTTATATAATTGACTGGCAATATTTCCTTGTAGCAATTCGTATATCTTTCAACTTTGTTTAAAATATTTTTTTGGGTTTACTCTATAGGGATTTAATTGAAACTCTATTAATGTTATAAAATTTTATTCACACAACCTTTTTTTATGACAGGAATATATAGCATATTGTGCTTGCAATAAAGAATCTTACGTTATATAGTAACTCTTCAGGACGGAACCCTCGTACTGGTTTTGCAAAATATCTCTACAATTCGATATATTAGGCACAAAAATACACCCCAACAAAAGATATATATTTTAAGATTCCTCGTTATTGTCACGACAATTTCCATGGAGTGAGCTTTTCTAATACATTTTTTATGCCGATTAAAATTCGGAATTTCGCGACAAAAATTTTCGAAAAGGTCCCTTCTTTCACCTGATAATTTAAAATCAATGGCCCGTATTCAGCGCCTCACTTTAACTTTAGCGTGACTCTAAAGTCGCGTCTCGAGTCCCTAGTTACTCCATAACAACAATGTAAAACTGTCAAGTTAAAGACGCGACTTTAGAGTCACTCTAAAGTTAAAGTGAGGCGCTGAATACGGGCCATAGTCAATAAGCTGTAAATTTAATAATTATAGATTTATTTTGATTATTAGGCGAAATTAATTTCTAACAGTTCTATCACAGAAAATGTGTAATCCAAAAGATCTTCATAACAACAAAAAAAATCCCATCCAAAACAAAAACATTTAATAGACTGGAAGGTCACTTGTTTAATACAAAGTAATTAAAAGTAACATATAGAATATTTACACATAAGTGGCAGAAGTTCTAAAATAGATATTTTATACAAGTGTTAAAATTCTTAGTAACGTAAAGGTTAAAATATAATCCACAGAATACAAAAAGTGGATCATGTTAATTAGACCAAAAAGGCCTTGAGCGTCCTAATACTAATAGCAATGTTGTTCATGCATACACGAAGTCATTCAAATTACATTACTTTATTTGAGGAAATTGGATTATATCGATTACAGTAATCATATTGTACGTGTTTATTATAGAAAAACATGTATGTCCCTATTTCAAAGAAACCCATTCGTATCCATTAAATTTATCACTTTACAATGTCATAAAATCTAAAAGCACAATTGAATTACTCAATAACGCCTCAATATTTAAAACACACATTCATACTTTTAAGTTAAAACAAACAAAGGGTTTGGTTCTTTAATGTTGTTCCATAGATAAAGCACTTTTTGATTAAAACTGAGCTCAATCTTCTGCCACAAAAATAACGCATCTTTCATTAACGTATCTACTGATAATTATATATTTGCTTATAATAAGCGTACTTTTAATTCAAAGAAAGCTAACTAGGTTTTTCCTAAAGTTATTAATCCAACAATATTACATTTGAATAATAACCTTGGAAATACATTTCATTAATTATTACATAGACAGACGAAAGCTTTTTTTGGCATGACTGATAGAAGTTCCATCCACTTCGATAAATAAATATTCCATAAGAAAATAATAAATAACGTAGAGGGTAAAGCTAAACATAGTAAACACCAGACGACAAATTCATAACTTTTTGCTTCCTCCTTTTCTCGTCTGTGTTCGATTACAATTATTAGAGAGAAGATGTGAATTAGAGAGATAAAAATAAGGTTTTAGATATTAATATGCATCCGCTAGAGTTAAATGAGCCAAAACTCGGGATATAGAATATATATTTTAGGGCACACTGGCAATAAGACCTTTACAATCTTCGGTGAAACTTTCATAAGAAAGGATTATTCGAGTTCATCGTGGTTGGTCCTCCCACCTGCAACAATCAAAAAAACATTTTTCTAATAAATAAACTCGATACAAAAAGTCTAGGATATGGTCCAATTATTTTCAATGAGTACAAGTACCAAAATGATAATGATGATTATTCAAAGGGTTTTATCTAATTAAAATAGTACAAGATATTTACCTTAAAAGGATTCGGCGTCCATCCGTTGGTACCGTTCACAGCAAGCCCGCCGTTATTGGCAAACGTTGTGGCCATCGGCTGGAAATTGTTGTAACCATTCGTTTTCGGGGTATCCCTAAAAGGATTAGCGAACGGTTGTTGGGCGGATTGCAATCCGTTGCTCACGTTAGACCAATTCAGTCCGTTCGCATTGAAAGGATTGGACACCACGTTCGATGCGTTCGAGTCTTGATTCGTAGGGAAGCAGGCGAAAAACTGACCTGCAAACATATTACAACAAGTTAATAACGTCCTAATACTCCTAATAAAGAGCCTAGAGCCCTAGAGGACTACAAAAAAGAGTAAGGTAGCACGAGTCACTGCCAGTTATTTTGGAACCAGGGTATAGAGATTTTTCTGTCGCAAAAATGTAACACATTATTATTGCCCGTATTCAGATAAGTGCCTAATATCATATTACCGGTTGGTTATATTAAATTAACAAATTAATCAACCGGCATTGTTTTTAACAGTTCTACCGGTTCAAACGATTCAAATAAGCAACATTGCTATGTTTACTCACCGGTTTTGTAACCAAGGGGTTATATCGACTTCTGAAAACCGATTGAAATACAGGGTGTTTCATTGGGAAAGGGCAATATTTTAACCCTGTATAGAGGTCACCCAGGGGATTACAAAAAACCCATATACTATGGGTCTTGCGTCCTTTATAACCGAGTTACAGGGTGTTTTTTGAATTTGGCCCATTTCTTTCGTGGCTCATAACTTTTGAATCACTCAATATATTTTTTTGATATTTGGCATAGATATTCTATACCTTTAGGACAATTTATTGCCACATTAAAAAATTACAAAATCCAGGTCCGGATTTAGAAAAATTAATAAAATTTGACCGACCCTAAAACAACACCCTATACATCATATTTTTAAAAATTGAATTTCAAATTCAGAAAGAGCATAAAAAACTGAATGTATTCATCAACTTTTTATTTTCCCGCATGCCGTTTTTCTACCAAAATTTAAACGTTAAAATGTACATTATGAGATTTTTGGTCCATGTAAATGGTAATTGAAGGGATTTTAATTATTTTTTCTTTAATAAAACCAGATTTACTTAACACTTTCATGAAAATTCTTGAAATAGACCTATTGAACTTGAATTAACATTCACATAAACCAATAAAAATTACAATTACAGATCCGCACTTAATAAAATTTAATGTTAATAAATTTTAAGTTAATAAAATTAAAATGATTTCATTTCATTTAATAATTAATCATTGATTATTTAATTTTTACATTTCTACATGAGAAAATTCACAACTTAACTAAGTAATTTACTAGATGTTTCAAAAAAGATACTAGAATAAGTATTCTTTTCCACACCACCAAGAGGTAGAACACAAGGCGCGTTTTGCTAATGAGGTATCCCCAATAGGCCTAATCCACACGAACTGGCAAAATAAAACAATGAATAAAAAATATGAAAAATAAACAAAAAAATTAACAAAAAACAACTCTTTAACCAAATAATTAATATCTACTAATTTAATACTAATTATAAATAACAAAATGATAACTAACAAACTAACAACAAAAAACACCAGAAAAAAGGTCATTTTAACAATTGCTCAAAATGTTCTCCATTTTGTTTGATACATAATCTAGCTCTCCTAATCAAGTTGCAAATAAATCTTCTAAGAACATTGGGATTGTTTTATAATTCTTTAAAAGTGCTTACTAGGTAAATGTGTTCTATCTCTTGGTGGTGTTGAAAAGAGTACTTTTAGTATCTTTTGTAAAGAAGCTAATAAATTACATAGTTAAGCTTTGAATTTTCTCACGTAGAAATGTAAACATTGATTAATCAATGATTAATTATTAAATGAATTGAAATCATTTTAATTTTATTAAGTGCGGATCTGTAATTGTAATTTTTATTGGTTTATGTGAATGTTAATTCAAGTTCAATAGGTCTATTTCGAGAATTTTCATGAAAGTGTTAAGTAAATCTGGTTTTATTAAAGAAAAATTAATTAAAATCCCTTCAATTACAATTTACATGGACCAAAAATCTCATAATGTACATTTTAACGTTTAAATTTTGGTAGAAAAACGGCATGCAGGAAAATAAAAAGTTGATAAATACATTCAGTTTTTTTATGCTCTTTCTGAATTTGAAATTCAATTTTTAAAAATATGATGTATAGGGTGTTGTTTTAGGGTCGGTCAAATTTTATTAATTTTTCTAGATCCGGACCTGGATTTTGTAATTTTTTAATGTGGCAATAAATTGTCCTAAAGGTATAGAATATCTATGCCAAATATCAAAAAAATATACTGAGTGATTCAAATGATATAGTTGTCGAAAGAAATGGGCCAAATTCAAAAAACACCCTGTAACTCGGTTATAAAGGACGCAAGACCCATAGTATATGGGTTTTTTGTAATCCCCTGGGTGACCTCTATACAGAGTTAAAATATCGCCCTTTCCCAATGAAACACCCTGTATAACGGACTAGAAGCATTGAACGCACCATAGCAATTTAGAACGCTCCAGAATCATTTAGAACTTTCTAGAACAACCATTTAGGACGCTCCATAGTCATTTAGAACGCTCCAGAATCATTTAGAACTGTCTAAAACCATTTAGAACGCTCCAGAAGCATTTAGAACTATTTAGAATGCTCCAGAACCATTTAGAACGCTCCATAGTCATTTAGAACGCTCCAGAATCATTTAAAACTGTCTTAAACTAATGATTTTGTTAGACTAAGTAAGAAAAGGAATTTTTCAACTGAAAATCTCGGTCTTTCGTCTGTCAGGCCGAGAACTTTTGCACCTTACCCCCTTGCACTTAAATTTGAAATAACGTGTTACATTTTTGCGGATGCTCCGCCGAGCGCGTACCTTGACTAGGTGACCCGAAAATGGAGCCCTGGGACGAGGGCGAGCTGTACATCGATCCGGTGGGCGTCGGCGAGCTGTAGAGCGAGCCGTTGGAGCCGCTGCTGCTCGTCCAATCGAAGCTGCCGTTCTTCTGCGATTTGATTTCGTTGTCGAGATCCTTGAGGGCGGCGTACCTGTCTTCGACGGGGGCGGCGGTGCCGTTCGAATTGTTCAAGGAGCCGTTCAGGCTCGACGAGCCGGTGCCGGATTTGTTCCAGCCGTTGTCGTTGAAGGCGTTCGGTATGGGCAGGCCTGGAACAACGAGGGCCGATTAGCCGCGGGAAAATCGTAGATAGAGGAAGATGAGTATTAATTACAAAACGGAGAAAGAATATACCGAAATGTTGGCGTGAAGCTCGATTTAGGTATACATGAAAGCGTGAATGTTTGCTCGATGTAAGAAATTGAACCCTTGATATCTTAAAATGTTTGTAATTTTTGAACTCGTGGTGAAAGAATAAAGGAAAATCTTAAATTATTCTATATAGCAAAGCAATGGTAAGTTGCTAGTTGGAAATAAACCAAAATTGTTACATACAAGAAAACTTTCTACTAATGATTTTAATTAATTAGTCGATCGAGTTTATTGATGATGGCAATGAATTAATTACATATTGGAAAACGTACGAGTAAAAGCCCGAGGCGATGAAAATTCCCAGCGCTAATGCTACAATTAAAAATAATTAAATACAGAAGCGACTTTTCCAAGTGTTTGCAGTGTGACTCGATATGTGTGCTCTCAAACAAAAATAAAAACGAGTAGAATAAATTAATCGAAACGAAAAAAAGAATAAAATAAAATATGGTAGTAAAGCCGAGTTCACATCGATACACACTTGACTTACTCCAACGGTTGACGTTGCACTTTGGAAATAGAGGAACTCGATTCAAAAGAGGTCCGTGCGATTCGGAATAGCACAAGTCGAATAAGCTGAAGTTATCTGCAATTGACGTCGATACTGAGTAATTGAGTAAAATTTTAACGCTGAATCGAAATGGGAACTAAAGGTTGTGGCATTTGAATTGGTTGTGGCGCTAAAGTTGAGCTCTTTCACGAATAATATGCATGATAAGAGCATGCAACTCTAGTGCATACAGTGTATATGAGTGTGAGAATTATACAACTTTTTCGTTTGGATTTGTTTGAAATAAAAATAATTATTTAGGTAACAGTAGAATTCTGTGTGAAAGAAAACATAAATCACTCTATCAAAGGTCTTTAAAGCTTTTATACTCTAATACATAATTCATAAATCACCACTATTGCAATTTCAATTCATCATTATTGCAGTATAATAATTGACTTGGCGTGTGATAATCAACAAATTGTATCTCTGAGGGATTAAATATATTTAAACTTATTTTGAGACATCAATAAAATGAGATCTCAATTTAATTCACTTTTTCGAACACGCACTTAGCTTTAATCAGTTAATGTAGGAGTAGGTTAATGCAGCTTTAAATGTAGGAATTTCTATTTTTTTATCTTTTTATCATTGAAGGAGCAAAAATATTACGTACATTTTTAGAAACGTAAACTTTAATAAATAATATCTTGTAAACAAAGCGAAATACCAACCGGTTTCTGTATAAAATTCTTATGTATACAAGCAGAATTAATTTGAGTACGTAATTAGATTCTGCGAATGTAAACAATAACATAATTTATCGATCGAATCGACAGAAATTCGAAATTATTATATAGAAAAAAATTAATATGTTAACGTTTTTTAATTTAATTATAAAGATTATTAAAGTTATTAAGTAATCAAGTTAATATTTCAGGAAAGCCTATAACATAATAATTACGAAACCAGCTCAATTTTTTTAATCTTTATATTTACCGCATAAAACGTATTATTTGATTATTCGCAAATCTGTAATTATTATACTTATACTAAGGAGATTTATTTAATATTTTTTTCTAATTTATAGTAACAAGTATGTAATTTAAGAAACACGCCAATTGTTATTAAAATCCATCAATGCGTATTTACAACAATTTCCCTCATAAATCTTCGCACAAAGCATCAACACGTGTTCGTTTTCCTGTTTGATACGTTCAAACATTTCAAACGTGCACTTCATTTTAAATTATTGAGGAAATGGCATTGTATACCTGTTGTAAAATGTACTAACGTATTTTTTAATACGCGGGATCGAGCGTTCCATATCGATTAAAAACCAGTAAAACAATGTTGTTGCAAACAGGTATATGTATACAGGGTGTTTTATAATAACATGCTAATACCGAATGGGGTGTTTCTTGAACCCATTATAAGAAAAAAACTTCATATGAACATATGCCTTGACATGTTTCACGAAATTCCTTAATTTAATAGTTCCATAGTTGCAATAAATTCGTTATACCAATCGTAAAGAATTTTTATAGGTCTACGAGTAACTAAGTGAACAATTATCAGTTCAACTAAATTTTGAAGGTCTCCAGTAAACTTGTAATACAAATTGAAATTTTATATGAAAATAGTCAAGCAAAAAAAAGGCAAGAGGATATCTAAAATAAATCTTGGCACCTGCTTCGCTGAGTTAACAGTTTTATAGTTCAATAGATTTATGAGTTTAATAGAAGCGCCATTAAACGTCACTCATAATTCCCTAACCACTAACTGTAGCACTTTAAGCTTTATGGAGAACTTCTGGATTTTTCCATTTTTTTTACTTAGCCGAATTCTTTTTTATTGGACTATTAGTGTGTAGAATACCTAGGTGTAAATTTTGTACTTCGCTGTAATATTTACAATAAGTTTGGACTACTGTCAAAATACTGAAAGTGATCCAAATTTTTACAGTAAATAGTTTTACTTTGATGTTAAACAACTCAATTTTCACAACCAATCGACATTATCAAGTTATGCCATTTATCCACAAATGTATAAATTGCTAAATATTCAATTAATGTCCTTAAGAGAGCGTTAAAATCAATAATTTATGGTGAACATCATAAAACTTACTAATTCCATAGAAAAACCATAGCACGTGTTCATTATGCTATGGAATTATACATACAATTGATAGTAGATAGGTAAGTACAGTACACCACAATTTAACTTACCCGTTGTGGTACCGTTGTTGCCGTTCGTATGATTAAAAACCGTATTATTATCGAAATTAGCGAAATCACTGTATTGTTGCTGTTGTTGTTGTTGTTGCTGATGGTGTCCTTTCACCGCACTACCATTAACCACCGTCGTACTACCGCCCGTGAATATATCTGCTCTATCAAAGTCCGCCACGAAACCGTTCGAATTCGCATTCGTTGTCGCGTTGTTCGCGTTGTTCAGGTTGTTCAAGTTGTTCAAATTGCTCCGGACGGTCGCGTGGTTTCTGTTGATTTCCGGCCGGGGTCGTTGAGTCGTCGTTTGTGTCTGGTGAACACCGTTGGTCTTCGATGATTTCGTTTCTTCCGACGGTTTCACGTTCACCGGGTCCAAGTAATACCTAAAACGAACAAAAGGACTCGTTATATTGGGTATTTTTTTAGTTGAAATTTGTTTAGTAGGTTTTGAGATGATCTAAGTCAAATGTCATAACTGTCATTTTTTTTCTTATCCCAATAACTAAAAATGATACTCGATTCACGTATAAAAAACGTAATTTACAAATCTCATTTAATAACTACAGTTACTGTAAACAATTTTTTCATAAATGGACTAACTTGGTTTGTTGACATAACTTTTTAACAGATCGAACTATTTTTCAACATATGTTTTTCGCCTACTAGATTTTGGGCGATTCACATACTACATGTGAAATGTCATAATTAGCTTAGCTAAAAAATTTAACTTAAAATGACAGTTGTTTTGAAAACCATACGAAACATTTTCAAGTCTCTTGTGATAACTATGTTGTTAAAATGATAAATTTTTCGGAAATCTACTAACTTGGTTTGTTGACATAACTTATTAACAGTTCCAAATATATTTCAATATACATAATTGATTCTTAGATTTTCTCAAATGACGTACATCAAATGTCACAATTAGCTTTGCTAAAAATGTTATTTAAAATTACGATTAATGTAAAAACCGTGTAAAACATTTTCAAATTTTTTGTGATAACTATATACAGTTAAATTAACATTTTTTTCGGAAATCTACTAATTTGTTTTGTTGATTTTTCTAGATATTCGCTTACTAAATTTTTCAAATGACACACGTCAAATGTCATATCATCGCTAAAAATGACACTTGATTTACGAAAAATAAATCACCAAAACCCTTTGATAACTCGATGAACAGATTTTTCGAAAGTATACTAACCTACGTTTCTCATATTTTTCTACCATAAAGTCCCTAATAAGCGTTTCGTCGCCGATTGTATTCGCCGTAGGCACACCTTCGTAGAGGCCGAGCCACACTTGTTTGCAATAATCGTTACCTCTGCCCTTTAGCAAATCGATTTCTTCGTTTGTGAATGTCGCCATCGAAATTGATTTTACGCGATGCGGCGGAGTTATACCTCGTCTGAAACCAAAAAAAAAACAATTATACAACTACCTAATCACTATTTAAAAAAACATCAAAACCATCCCTTATTACCTATTATTACCTTTTGATATACAGGGTGTCCCAACGAAAAATAGCCCATTTAATCATTTTAGATTTTGATAAAACGCCCTGTACTAGTAATACATAATTTTTGTGTCCTTGTAACAAAAGTTAAAGCGAAATAAATGGGCTTAACATTGGGACACCCTGTATTACTTATTAGCTATAGATACTTTTCGTTTTTTATTAGTAGGCTTTTTTGTATTGTTTTAATTATTATATTTTGTTGGCGGGCGCATGTTGAACTTTGATAAAAACAAATTATACATCTATAATGTAGTTAAAACATCAAGTATCATAATTAAAAATAATGTCAGTGATAATTTTTTTTTAATAATTGGACTTTGTGCGTATTTTAGAATATGCAATAATTACCTTATTCGATATATTATGTATGTGACTGTGGTAATTTTAATGACTCACAGAGTTTTATGAAAAATTAAACTTCCTACAATAAAAGTTCTTATCATATCTCTCCGGCAGCGACCGGATAGTCGTAAATGTATATTAAATTTTTGCTCAGCGATAAAGGAATTATTCAAAAATATTTTCAATTTCTATTTAGAGGAAAATTTCTTATCCGCTCGCTTCATATCAACAGTCAAAATAAATACCAATATTCGGAAATGATAAGGAATAATTTCGTTGATGAATGAAAGCGTATTTCGTATTTTTAGGTATGCATGTTAAAATTAATTTTCTATTTTAATTCATTTACCCACGCGCTTAAACTTTTTTTGCCAATCAATCACAATAAATTCGTATACTATACTTGAATATTTTGTGCTCAAAAAAATTTTATGCCCAATTAAAACTCCGCAATTAGCTAAACTCGCAGGTCAAGTATTTTTTAATTGATCCAATAAGCGCACCAAACGCGCATACAAACAACAAAAAATTGCACCATCACGGAGCGCTTTAAGTATGCCACAATCGCAATTAATTTATTTATTTGCATATTATTTTTCCGTCTGTACGATACAATAAAATCGCTAAAATATTGGCGACCTTTAGCGCGGACCGAAGGAAAACTTATCAACGGCATCCTTCATTGCCAATAAGTGACGTGCTTTTTAGTATGTATTTTTATCAATCGCTCGCGCCCGTCTGGACTATATTTAGAACGTAAATAAGAGAGTAGAAAAAACAGTTCAAACATTCGATTGCAACCCAACATATTATTACACGAATTTGCTACTTGAAGCAAAACGGAAGGTCGCGATAACGAAGAAAATACATTGCGTATTTTGTTTATGATTTACGAAAACTTGAAAATTTGTGTGTTCAATGCGAGCTTGCAAAGTATAAGAGAGGCCAAGATACTTGAGAAAAATTACAATTGAGCAGAGCAATGTTTATTGTAATATTCCTCCAGAGAAATAAATTTGTACAGAATTGATTAAACCAAATTTCACCAATTAAATCATTTCAAAATATACTCAAACTTCATAATTTAAGCGAATGCACAATAAATTACTAGCACTCCTTTTAACAGAGATCCCAACGGCTCCCAACGAGTTAGACAATAAATTAAACCCAACGGTTACCGCCCAAAAAACCTCTTCATTCGTCCAAACGTAATTAATGAGTAATATTAAATGAGTAAACGTAATTATTACGTTTACCCATATTTTCTCGAATTGGAAAGTCTCGAATAGAACGAACCGAAGCGCGGATGAAGTTGCGAAACGAAGCGGGGGGAGCTGGTGCGATACGGGCGGTCATCACTTCCCGGTGAACCTCTCCGATGGTGATGACAGCGATACGTTCGCTATCAAGGTCGTCACAATCGGTACCAGATACTAGGCTGAATGGACGTCAGCCGGTGTCGCCGTTCTAAATGCACGGTCTGACGATCCACCATTCGCCGCTATTATTCACAATATACAACTCGAAATAACGATAATATACAGTTTGTATTGTACCGACGTATGGCAAACATATTATTTTCAAAACCACTTCAATGTGGTTTGCCTTATTATCGATTATAAATGTTTGGTTTCTTAGGAAAAAAATACCTTTTCTATATAGTAACATTCTCTGTACATCTATTGCAATATGAATTTCCCAGAGATCTCAGAGAAAAACAAAGAGTGTTGCCTCATTCAAAATCATTGAATCAATTTTTTTCATTAGAAATTAATGAAAGTTTCCTACTATCATTTTACTCAATGAAAAAAAGGAAACTATAATTATACTCTGTTCGCCATCGGGAGATAGTAATTGAAGGTCCAATTTTGTACGCAAAAGACAGTAGCACGAGTTACTTAATGAAAAAAATCATAAAATTTCAAAACTTTTACCATTGTGTAATAGTAATGTTTATTTTACTTATGCAGTGCCACTCTGTACACCGGGAATATAACAACAGACTATTCTAATCACAGATAAAGTGACCTGAACACAGTGCATAGTCGTATTTCTGGAATATTACAAAGATATAAAAGGATATAATAAAATAAAAATAAATATTTAAAATAGAATTACACATAGCTTTCATTGATATCTGAATCGCTACCACATAAAACTCGCATTTTTTATTTATTTCGTGGAGCGCCAACGATTTACTATTTCAAGAGAGAAAATAGAGAAAAATAGAAAGAAACTTGCAGTATTTTTCATGCACGATTAATAAGGAGCCTACAAAGTAAATATATCAAAATTGCTTACTGCTCCAAAGAAGGTATTATTACTATCTCCTGATTGCGAACGGACTATAATTTAGTAAAAGAAAGTAAATTAGAACATTTACAGAGATATAAAAAACCCGACCATTAGAGAAGCTTAAAATTTCTAAGATAAACTCAATGGAACGTAAACGTGGTTGAGTAACCAAAAAGAATCTCTGTGGAATTTCCCGCATCATATCGAAAACTCAACGCAAATAGCAACTAAAGATTTAACAGCAACGGCAATTACACCGCCTTTGGTTTGGAAGCTATGCCGAGTAGCTCCATAAAAATAATGCGAGTCGAGTATTAATTTTTAACGGGACAATTTTTATCGGTCTTTAGCGTTAGAAAGCGTTCGTTTTTCTCGGTTTTACGTCGAAAACGAACCCACGAAAATCCATAAAACGCGATGACGGTTCGATGAACCGAACACACAATCGGGCGGTATCAAATGGCAACGCAAACACAAAACGTAAAAATATTTTTCGTGAGTCATTGTACTTTGCAGATGGACTGCAAAGTTTCATGAGTTTTCTCGTTATTATAAACACGAAAAGAGCTAACAAAAATTCGTAAAAGAAAACTTTTATTTAGTTTAATAATAGCTTGAACTGTGCATAAATGGAAAATTTGTGTTAAATGATAAGGTTCCATTTTTCACGGGATTTAACTGTAAGAGTAGTAGCTGCAAGTGCCCTTAAAAATGATATTTTTCTGGAAAAGTGGGCGATATACGTGAAAACTAAATTGGTAACTTTTCAAATATTCCCAGTAGTAAAAGAATACTTCCTTCGCCGGATGGGTAATCGATCCATTTAAGTAGTAATGCTACAAACACGCTTAGAAACAGATAAGTTTTCCTTTCCTTGCACTATCGTATCATTTTCAAGTCACTTATGAAAGGAAGTGATTCATAGTTTGGTCAAATTAGATATTAATGGAAGTTCTTAGAGTAATACCAGTTCTATAAAAAATATCTTAAGGATAAATATAGGTAACTAATGAAGATGAAAATAAGTCACTTCTTGTTATTTTTTTTAAATTCACTAAATCCAAACATATGTACATAATAATGAAAATAAATACGGTATTAGGTATTCGGTTATTTTATCATAAATGCTTCAAATTATACATCGTCGAAAAAAAAACGAATTGTCACCGATAAATAAACTTATTCTTTATCTACAATAATTATTATCTATACAGACATAATGCGGTATTAATTCGTTCGATGGGATTCCGTGAAAATTATTTAAAGAAATTACTGAAATTCCCGACCGAAAAATGCCGATTGGTTCAAAATAACCTCGGTCGGGAAATTTTATGATTTTATAATTGCAAAAAAATAAATCAAGAAAACGCCGCGTGTCAATTAAATCTAATGAAATCACTTATCTCGCTAGTTTATGATAATTGGCGATAGACAACTTACTTAATATAAGTAGTAACACTAAAATAAATAACGAAGTAACTCGAAGTTTCCACAATACGTAATTAACACACAACTAACTTGATTTCAATGAATATTCAAACGTGCATTGTCAAATTACGAATGGATGTAGTTTCAATTATAGCAGATATTTATTCATAAATGAAATTAATACGCAACGAAACGCACGCATTTACAGACTATCGATTTCATGATGTTATTATTGTCGCAAAAAATAACCGAAAATAAACTCTCAAGGGTTAATTTTTCACCGTGATAAGGATATCAATTCCGCATGTGAAGATAGTAAATATTCAATGCAACCATCAGTATTGATAAGAACCATTGAAAACTAGACTCGTTTCATTTCAGTTTAATCGCCCATTTGGGACGTTCTGTACGCCATTCCAGTTAAACAACCTGCTATCGTATTATCGCATTTGCTTACGACGAAATGAAAATTTTTGACGCATTTCGCTGTATTATCGAACAGTACCGGAACACAAAAATCTGCGATTACTTTCCTAAAATTAAATAGTGGGAAATTGATATTTAAACAGATAATATTTTATTACGCGTCATTTAATTGTAAATAAATTATCTATTATTGATTAAGTGTTTGTTATAGTTATAAACTACTTGAAATCTACAGGGTGTTTGTAAAAACTCTTACAGAATTATTTCGAGAAAAATTGTAATAATTTTATTTAATGTAATTATATTAGATTAGACAAACAGCCGCCACAAAAACCAATTCTTATTTATTTACATGACCTTCCTATTTTATTTCTAAGTACCTACTTGACTTGTTAATT